TCTCTCTCTCTCTCTCTCTCTCTCTCTCTCTCTCTCTCTCTCTCTCTATCTCTATCTCTATCTCTATCTCTATCTCTATCTACAGTACGTAAATGAAAGAAAGAAGATAGGATTGCAACTGCTTGAAAACCACAGGAACTACTTCCACACTTCTCTAAAAGAGATTTCTATTCCTCTCCACCCACACCATCTTTATTTATATGACATATTGGGAGTTCACTGATAATCCAATTGTGTAACAGCCATTTTAAATGGTTATATTTAGCAACTCAGAATGAAACCAAGAGATTTCAGTGAAGAAGAAGGTGCATGTGCCCGAATAGATTCATTTGGGGGAAATCCTGCTGTTCCATAAGACATTAAGAGGTTAAATTTAGATGCATTATACATTCCTTACATCCTAGAGTTTGGGAGGAACAAAGACTATTGAGCAATAAAAATTAGAATAACCATGATTTCAGCTCCTTGATGTCTGGGTGTGGGAATTGTAGATCTCACCAGGTTGGGAAATGTTCTACAACCTTGGCACGAAGGTCATAAAGTTGATTGTACATTGAAAACCTAGATTCAGAGCTGCAAGTAAAAGGTAATAAACAGATTTATTCACAAAGCAGCCTGCTAACTTTTAGTCCATTTGGCAATACCTGGAAATGGAATTAGGACAACTATGGCAAAAGGCAGCAAAGATAGTACCAATAGTAACAGGCGCCTTGGGTGCAAACCCAAAGCAACTGGAGCAACACTTGAACACCATCAGCATTGACAAAATCACCCTTAGTCAATTGCAAAGGCAGTCTCATTTGGAACAGTTTAAATACTGTGATTGTACCTTTAACACTATCTAACAACATCTCTATATCCCAGATCCTTGGGAACAACACGATTGGTGGACAGAAATGCCAAATCCCATTCTAAACATGTGGATGATTGTATGAGAGACCATAATAATAATAATAAGGGAGGGAGGGAGGGACAAAACTCTCCAAATGCTCATCTTTGGCATTTGCTCTTTGCAGAAGTTTCAGGTGTTTGGACCAATTGTGTTTCCACCTTGGGATCACCAGTTGAGCAAAGACTGTTTGAGGAGCTATGTGATATGATGTGTCCTCATTGGACATATTTGCTGATCTGGACGTTGTGACTCATACCGTGGTTTCTTCAAACAGGACGCTGACCCCATTGTAAACCTCCTAGGAACCTCGACTGAAGAAGGGAAGAAGGTTCAGAGGAATGGAGGCAAAGTCTTCCCAGCTGTCTTCCGTCGCATCAGGGAACAAGAAATGGCAAGAACATGAGTGGGCATTTTGTAAATCCTTGTAGGCATTCGTATCTGCAGCAAGAAGACTGGTGAAAGTGTAGGATTGGGTGCTTCTGGCTGCACTGGACTTGACCTTTCCTAAATAGGGGCGGATAATCCTTTCTGATGAAACATTTCACTGTTGCATGAGGGTTTTCTTGGATCACATGTTTGCTTCTTAATTTTCCCCTAGAAGGAATACATCCAGCTGGCCTTCCTGATGACTACATAAAGGTCAGAAGTACACAGTTAGGATCAAGTGTTAAGGATAGAGGCTCTTTTAAGATAGCTTCACTTGTCACTTTATTTTGTTTATAATAAATGTGGAAGCAGGGGTGGGATTCTACAGGTTCGCACCTATTCTCTAGAACCATTTGTTAACATTCTAAGCAGTTCGGAGAACCGGTTGTTAGAAGAAATTACTGCCCTAATCCCGTAAGGAAGGCAGGAAGGAAACATTCTGGTGTTGCTTACAGAAACTGCCTCTCCGTTAACCCTTATTACGTTCTTGACAGGACTAGACTTCCTGTCTCAGGAACATCTCTGGAGCCTTTTTCCCCTCCTTTGCTGGAACTTTGCTTGTGTGGAGTGACCATTCAAAGTTACAACGGCACTGAAAAAAGTGACTTATGACCATTTTTCACACTTACTGTTGCAGCATTCCCACAGCCAGGCGAGGAGATGCGTGCCTCGATGTGAGTGATGTTGAGTTGGCCACACCCAGCCAGTCACATTACCACCAAGCCACGCTCACCAACTAAGCCATGCCCACAGAACCGGTTGTTAAAAAAATTGAATCCCACCCTGTGTGGAAGGTTTCATTAAAATAAGTGAATTGGGGGGGATCCAGCTCCCCTTGGCTTGAGAGCATGAGTAAGACCCTTTGGGACTTGGTTCATTCTGGTATTTCTTGTCATCCTCTTTTATCTCCCCCAAAACTCACGTTCAAACCCACTTCGTGTACCTCCAATAACTGGTATATGTTACAGGGCAAGTGCCATCCCCTCTTCCTCCAGATCTTTGCCAATTCTAAAAATCCTTTGGGATGGTGGTGAATTACTGCAGGGACAAGTTGCCAGCCTGCTCCCTTCATAATGTCATATGGAAAAAATAGCAATAGCACTTAGACTTCTATACCGCTTCACAGTGCTTTACAGCCTTCTCTAAGCAATTCTACAGAGAGTCGGCATCTTGCCCCCAACAATCTGGGTCCTCGTTTTACCCATCTCGGAAGGAGGGAAGGCTGAGTCAACCTTAAACCAGTCAGGATTGAACTGTTGGCAGTTGCAATTATATAATACTGCATTCTTAACCACTGTGCCACCATGGCTCCTATGCCGCAGGCAGTGCAATTTGCCCAGAATCTGAGGTGCAGGTGGGTGAAACACCTACTGCCCCAAACTATCTGTTAGGATACTTTGATCTTTGGTGATTCATCCCTTCACTAGCTTCACTTGCAGGAGAAACTGCATACTTTGCTCGCCCCCTTTTCTGCATGAAAGCCAGGCTCTTTGCTTAGTCATTAAATGTTTCTCTGTCTGAAACGCACAAGAGGTTGAAGAAACTCCTGTCCTTCGAAAGCAGCAGATGCACAACAGCTGTCAATTTCCATGTGGACAGTCGAGCTGTTGAGGCGGCTTCCTTTGAGGTGGAAAGTGCTTGTTCTGGATAACGATGATCTGTTGCAGCCGTGGCAAATGACCTAGCTATCCTCCTTCCCAATCCGTTGACTCACTTCTTTGTCCAGCCTACACCTTGCAGCCAGTCTTAGTCCATTGCAGTGGGCGGGTGTCATTTTCTCTTCCCTTTTTTGCCTTTTGAATATTTCACTTCCCCTCCAGGATGGAATTAAAAGTAAAATGATGCAATCATAATCAGTGTTACTGCAAATAGGCTGGGAGAGCTTCCATAGCAACAGCGCTTGGACTTACACTTATATACCGCTTCACAGTGCTTTGCGGCCTTCTCTAAGCAGTTTACAGAGGCAGCATATTGCCCCCAACAACATGGGTCCTCATTTTACTGACCTCGGAAGGAGGGAAGGTTGAGTCAACCTTGAGTTGGTCAGGATCAAACTCCTGGCAGTGAGCAGAGTTAGGCTGCAATACTGCTTTTTAACTACTGCACCACCACGGCTCCTATCCAAGTTTATCTCTTCCATGTCTGAATGCAAGTGGGGTAGCCTGAAATGACCAAATAGGCATGTTAGGCCCCATTTTTTACAAAGCCTCTTTTTTGTGGGGGCGGGTTGGAATAGTTCTACCCACATTATGAATGGGGGTAGTTTATTTTATTTTTCATTATTTCTATTCTGCTTCCGCTGTACAGTTCTGAGTGGCTTAGAACAATTAAAAAGACATGAAAACCGTAGAACGTAATTGCAAAGGAGAGTTAAGATTTGAGATCAGAATCCTTTCAATAGACCAAGATCTAAAAGGCCACGGAAAATATTATTAAATGTCAACATTTAGAAATAACTCACTTGGATGGAAATAGTTCAGCCCCAAACAAAACTGGGCTCGAAATCTAAGCCTACCTGGATTGATTATCTAGTTAATTCATTAGCTAGTTAAACAAGTTTTGGGAATTTGCATGACATGTTTATCTTCCCCACCCCCATGCACACAATGTATATTTTAGTATAGGTACAAAATTATGCATGTAAAATACTATAAATATCCAAATAACAATGATTAAATAATCCTAAAATTTAATTGTACAAAGATATGTACATATTTTTCTGTAATTTCCTTCACTGCTACTAATCTCAAGGAAGGGTTGGGAGCATTGAAGATTCCCATAAATGTCTGTGTCACCCCCAGCAAGAGCTTAAGAATTTGTTTTTAAAGGAAATTTAAAATCATTTCTTACACCATTTCAGCCTTTCCATTGCATCTGTTAAGGGCTAGAACACTTAAATTGGTGTGTGTGTGTGTGTGGGGGGGGGAATTAAAGATACTCTCACGAGTAACTTCTACTACTGCCAGCACCATCTTCTCAATTAGTGCAGAACTGGAATCCACAGAATTGGCAACGTATCATAAAAGCTCATCACACTTAATGTTATCTCTCTTCGGAGACTTAATATGTTCTCATACAGGGTGATTCACCGCCAAAGGGGATTGCAAGGTGATTGTTGTGCGCGCAACCTTGTTCAACACTCTCCCAAGTTATGAGTCACTTCTCAGTTGGGTTAGAAATGCTTGTTACGTTTATTGGGTTGTTGTCGTTTCTAACCCTGCCCCCACCCCGCAGCTTCCCCGCTGCTCCTGGCGGCCTCGTTATTTTCTGGTTGGCAGCTTGAGCCCTGATGTGCATCAATGTTGAACTCTTGAGTAACAAGTACTCGGTGTAGCAAGCTTGGTAATTCCTAGGAAGCAAAGCTCAGGATGAAGAGAGTCTGGCTCAGGGTGAAAGCATGTCTCCTCCACAGTCCAGACAAGACGCCAGAATGATTAAGACCACCGGTTGGGTTCCCTCTTTAAGGAAAACCTCCTTACTCCTCCCAAAGCTGGATCAGGTTTCGTTCCTTTGTATTGGACGGTCCTGCAAGTTATCAGTATTTGTACACTGGGGGCCAAGACCCTTCAATGAAAGTCCTTTCCTCCAACCCCTAAAAAATGGTAGGGTGCTGCCTGATCCGAGCAGTGGATGTCCTGTCACACGTGGCAGATCAATTCCAGATGGCTGTCTTTTAATATCATGAAAAATCTTTTGTAATCATCAGCTATTCCCCTCCCCTGCACACACACACCAAGAACCTTCTGTGACAGCCCAAGGATGAACATACCTAAAGTATGGGAGGTGCTTTCCGTTTGAAAGAGGATGCTTTTAAAATACCTGTTGAGCAGAAGGCAAAAACCTTTGAAAGAAGGCAGCCTCCCTTTGGGTGCATATTTCTTTTCAGAACCAGTTGTGTTTTGGTCTTTTATGATTACTCAAGTCACTTGATACATTCCAACCAGAGTGTTCAGCAATTTCAAAGGCAGAGCCAGGGTCCCTCCGATGCCCCATCGACCGTTTTTATTTTTATTTTTTTAAATGAATGGGAAGCTACTCACTAGTAAGTTGCAAAGCAAAACTATGTACCCCCAGCAGAGTCTGGTCTAAATCCTCTTGTGGTTGTCTAGACCAAAATCCTCTTGGTCTAAGAGGAGAAATATATAATGGCAGCTGACTTTTGCAATTTGGTTTGCCTTCTGGATGCTTGGTCTCGGCCACTAAGACAGCTGTTTTGTGCAAATGCTCGTAACAATGCATTCAGAATTCCAAAGGGATCTTCAAAAAAAAAAATGGGAGGTGTTTTTTTTTGGAGGATTCTACTCCAGAGCCATTTCCTGTGTTTAGGAAAGAAGTGGGAAAGTGCAAGTAGGAAGGCCATCAAATTTTTACCTTGCCTTTTCTGATGAGCTGCTGTCTGTCACTTGGGTGAATGCTTTTTCATGGAAGAAAAATCAAAAGTGCAAAGATCAAATTCCTCCCACCATATTTATCCTGCTCTTTTGATAGGGCCACTGTATCTGGACTACAAACTCCAGTCATCTGGATTTTTGCTGCCTAGATTTTGTTTAGGTAAAAGTTCCCCTCGCACATATGTGTTAGTCATTTCCGGCTCTAGGGGGCGATGCTCATCTCTGTTTCTAAGCTGAAGAGCCAGTATTGTCCAAAGACGTCTCCATGGTCCTGTGGCTGGCATGACTAAACACCGAAGGCGCATGGAACGCTGTTACCTTCCCACCAAAGTGGTCCCTATTTTTCTACTTGCATTTTTATATGCTTTCAAACTGCTAGGTTGGCAGAAGCTGGGACAAGTAATGGGAGCTCACTCCATTATGTGGCAGTAGGGATTCGAACCGCCAAATTGCCGACCTTTCTGATCAACAAGCTCAGCTTCTTAGCCACTGCATCCTTTAGATTTTGTTTGCTTACCATTAATTAAAATAAGTCAACAAACTACTTGAAGCGTACTTTGTTTATGCAACAAACACAATGCCAGTCTGCATCCTGGAAGGTTTCCAGAGGGGTTTACGGACCAGGTGTTTACTTTCTATGTCCAAACTGCATATGTGTAGTTGGTGCATTCCGAGTAACTTTCTTGTAAATAAGCAGAAATTGCAACTGAAGCCAATTATTCAGCAATTGAAGTAGGAGACACAAGGAATAACAAAAGTCACACCGACAGCATCTATCCAAGCACACAGTATATAGGTAGTCCTTAACTTACTGCTATTCATTTACTGGCCATTCAAAGTTACAACAGTGACATACAATTGATACTCACACTTAACACAGCCTCACCACGGTCATGAGATCAAAAT